CCAAAAATTTGAAAAATATCAAGAAAATATTGCAAATAAAAGGTGTGAAGACAGATCTTTGTTATGGCACATTCAGTTTAAGGTCCTCACTTCATCTTGTAGGTCTTCGATCCGATGACTAACGACAGCAGCTGATGTCCGAGGCAAATCCCAAACACGGGCTTGGGACTTTCCACGCAGACGACCTTCCTCACGTTGTTGATGGTGGTCTGACAGAACTGAGGGTCCCCGGGGCCGTTGCTGATAAACAAACCATCGAAATCTACAAACGGAGGAGAAGACGGAGGAAAAACAAAGACAGGGCTGCGTTTTGATTAAGGTTGAACAAATACATCATGAGGCTAACTTTTTGGATAAATCCAAACAGGATTGTGCACAAAAAACATCTCCTCGTTCACGGCTGCATTCATTTGTTTTTGAAGATAAAAAATAATACTAAATAATATTTGAAGGGGTAGGCAGAGATTTTAAAAACCCTCCTGGCTTCGTTTCCTCTTCCACTTATTTACATTTTTTAAAAGTGTGAAACTAAAAGAGGTGTAGCACAGTTTCAGACCTTTGCTGTCCAGTGGATGGTCCCAGGGAACGACGGTCACACAGGCTCCCCTCTGAGCCAGGCAGCGGATCTGGTTGTATTTGATGCCGCAGTCCAACACTGTGATCCGCAGACTGCCGCTCGGGTTGAAAACTTTGGGCTCCTGGGGACAAATGGAGAAATTAAAAAAAGGTACGCAACATAGTCAGAACTTTTTCTGTTTTATTTACTTGAATATAAAAAAACAACAACAACAATCCCGCACAATTCTCTTGCTAAGTATCACTAATTTATTAAACAAAAAATCACAACGTTTCAGTACCACTGAACCTTTGTGTGTGCTCGAGAGATACCACGGCAACAAAAATACATCCAGTATCGGGTCAATTCATGCAGGCAAACTCCTGCACACTTTCTAGATTGTACAAATATTTTGGCAACGCTAGCAGAATTTAGAAGAAGGATTGTCTAGTCTAGAACAGTCAGGGTGTTTCATTAAAAGACGATCTGGGTCGGTTACCTTCGTGGAGACCTCCTGGACCAGGTTCCTCTTGTCGGGGTTGTCAAAGGGGACACTGTCCTCAGGGGTCCCGTCTACCACCAGCTTCCCCAGCATGGTGCCCTTCTCTCTGATCTTTTTGGTCAGGTGGCGGGTGTCGATGCCTGGAGGACATGGAGACAAAGTTGTCTTTTGGGGAACACTAACAAAACGCCTTTGATTGTTTTGGTGTCAAAACTTCATTTAGCAAAACATCTTCTTCTACGTCCTTCTTCATATTTGAGGCCAACTAGCTGACACTTTTCTTGCATTCATCACTTTCCTGTCAAACTATTTCTACGTCTATTTACATTAGTTCTTGATTTGCTGACCTTGTAGTCCGGGAATCCCCTGCTCCTTGAGCCACTGGTCCAGCGACTTGACTGAACTCCAGTGACTGGGATCGTCCGACAGCTCTCCGATAATCAGAGCGGCAGCGTGGATCTTTGAAGACTCAAACCACTAAATGACAAATTACATAGAAAAAGGTTAGACCCAGATTTTTTTCCTCCATCTTCCACAGACTGTTATAGTGTTTACATTACTCTAAGCTTCAAACTCTAAATAACTACCCACCTTGCTCAGTCCAAACTCTCCGTCTTCATCCTTCGGCACACCATAGTTTCCCACCAGAGGGTAGGTGAGCGTCAGCAGCTGGCAGCGGTACGATGGGTCGGTCAGAGCCTCGGGATATCCCACCATGCCCGTCTGAAACACTGAACACACAAAAAAACATCATCACTGCACGGTCCAGTTATACAGATCACACCTGAGCTCACATGATTTAACACATGGAGCACAAGTCTTCATGTGTTGGAATAAATCCCAATTTTCTTGATGTGAGCTTACATAAAAACTTTTCTGCATAGCTTCTTTTTTTTTTTTAAATGAGGATTAACATAAATGTGTGAATTGAGATTTGTCATAACTTTCACACCTCAGCTGGTCATTATGTAATAAAACTGGCTCTGAATTCTGGCATCCGGATGTGTGCAGCTCTTCTAATCAACATGCAGAAAGATACAGTCCCTTCTGCTGTCTCTTTAATTTGTCCCGCCAAACCACGTTCAGGATTCTATCAATTTAAAGTTAACATGGTCGTAGAGAAAAGTACCAACCAAGCAGAGCAAAGTTGTGTTTTGCACAAAAAATCCCCACTGGCTAATCTTTAATTCGGCATGCCTTCCCCATGTTGAACGACGTTTAAAGGAACATCCTTCAAAGTTCAAAAAGTAGGTCATGCAAACCCACACATCCGTCTGCCACAGCATGCCCACAGGTGGAGAAACTGGCAGAGGTGTGCAGAGTCTGACATGAAACGCTGCATGTCGTTGCATTTATCTTTAAAACAGATCAAAGTGATGTATCTATTTAAAAGTGGCATTTCCAGGAAGGTGTGAAATGCTGTGTTTTCAAGCAAGCGTGCAGGATGTCAATGGCAGCTAGTGAAACCTTTAATTTACTGATTTATGAATGGAGTTTGGCGAGAGGAGAGGAGGATACAAGGTTGAGTTTTAGGGGTTTATGTTGCGCTTAAAAATGTATAAATAAAAGATGTTTAGTTAGGTACTGTTGTGTGCCGGGCTAGCTGGTTTAGCAGTGATTGATAAAGTTATGAGGTAATACTTCAAAGGGCTTACCAACTTCTCCAGAAACGGACACATTCGCTCCGAAAAGGAGGCCACTGAATGTCGTCCCGTCCTCTAGGATCAGAGTTGCCATCTTTGTCATTATTTCCTCAGAGACACGTAATGCTAAGCAGTCAGAAACTGGAGGATGTGTGAGAGGAGTGATGAAACCCCGGACTCCACGTGAAACGCACGCCGCGCTAAGAGGCAGAGGATGCAAGATGAGAGGGGAAAAAAAGGGAAAACTGACGTTAAAAAACTAAATTTCCGCTCCGGACTGACTTCTGTCAGCGGCGTCGCGGATCCGGAGTCGACTAGGAGACAAAAAAAAAAAAAAAAGAGGGTTTAGTCGGTTAGTTCTCCGGTTAGTCGGACGGGACGGTGCGCACAAAGTGTTCCACACGCGCTGCCAGTAGTGTGGAAGTCGGCCCGCAGCCTGGACCGGAAAGTTTGACGAAGCGAGTCATCGCGTTTCCGGTAGGTATGAAGTGTCAAAATAAAAGCACGAATAAAATAAATACTGTGGGTTATTGTTTGAACAAGAACAAAATAAAATGTCTGACAGCAACAGCTTGACTTTAATAACTTTGAGTAAATATAAAAATAATAGATTTATGAAGAAAACCTTTGAGCATGTTCAGGGTGGATCCAGGGGTGGTCATGACCATCCCAGCTATCTGATTGGCCAACTCCAATAAAAGTGTCTTTAAAGATTTATTTTGGGCCTTTGTTGCAGAGAAAGGAGAGTCAGGGAATCGGGGAGAGTATGAGTGGGAAATGAGATTCAGGAATGAGACCGAGGACTACAGACTCTGTGCATGTGGAGTGCAAAGATAAAAGATAAAAGATAAACTTTATTGATCCCCCATGGGGGACAGTTTTTTCATTACAGCAGCTCAAGAAGACAGGAAACAAGAATATGTATGTGTAAGAATATATGCATGTGATTGTAGGAGTGAGTGTGTGTGTGTGTGTGTGTGTGTGTGTGTGTGTTTTTGCACATTTGTAATCACTTATTTTTATATTGTTTTGCTGTATTGTCCATGCAGCAATTTCCCAGTATCTGAGACAAATTTCTCCCTAGGGAGACAAATAAAGAAACCTTGAACCTTGATATTCAGCCAATCTTTAAAGTAAAAAATATAATTATCTAATTCAAGCCATTTCTGGAATAGGCATTCTGTTTGGTGTTAGGAGGATCATTTTCCAATCAATCTTGCAAGTTGAGTGTCTCCTCCCAGTGTTTTCAAAAGCATCCATAGAAAGGGAAGTGTCGAGAATTTGTGCAGCTTTATTTTGAAGGCACAAACGTTTGTTTCCGGTGCAACCAGTACACTTCACAAAATTTGGCGCCACTTTGACGTAATCACTTACCTGCACTGCCTGCAGCACCAGCTTCTCAGCAGCTGGAATTCAGTTTTTATCCACTAGGCTGGTGATGTTGTTCAACCTCTGGTAAATTTAAACCTGGTTGTACTGATACAAAAAGCCTCCTGCAGCAATCTGGCAGCTGTTTAAATGTACGGAGCATTAATTTAAAATAGTTTTTATACTTCTGGGTGGCTTGATCCTTAATAAATATTCAACATTATTTTACCAATAATTTGGATTTTTAAAAAAACAGACATAACAGAGTATAACAGACTTGTTGTAAGATACATGTAGCAAAGGATTACATCATTTATTTGAGTTAAAGTGAAGGAAAGTGTCATCAGTTATCCGTCTTGAGCCTAGACTGTAAATAAAGGAAGAACATATAATTCACACACCATCACAATAGATAAATGAATAAATTCTAGTATTGTTAAGCAAGAAACATGGAAGGGGATGTAGCTCAGTGGTAGAGCGCATGCTTTGCATGTATGAGGCCCCGGGTTCAATCCCCGGCATCTCCAAGTGACCTTTTCCTCCTCGGACTACCTGAAACCCTGGCCATATTCACGTGACTATTTTAATTACCTGTATAAATCTCTTATCTATCGCAGTCCAATACATATAAAACACGTTTAATATAACTCATTGTATGTTTTTTTTTTTTTTTTTTACGTAGTCATTTTATAAAGCTCGATTAATGTCATGTTCATCAAATTGTTGTTGCTTTTAAGGTATATGGAAGCTCAACGCTACAAATAAATGTAATTTAGTGTTTAATTCAGTTTTAATATACATAATATTGACATTTTGTCGAAACAGTACTACGCAAAAAGCACATGTTTTAAAAAGTCGCTTATATTTCCCATGGTCCTAAACGCACCACGAGTCCCGGCCGTAACCAAGGAGATCACAGTTATGTTTACTGCAAAGATGTCCTCCGTGCTAAGCGCTATATCTCGCAGCTGGTCAACAAAATGACTATTTAACTAAACTTAATCCTCTTTATATCAGCACCAGTAACACCTTATCCTTTACGAACTTCACAAACACGCCCGTGAAATGCAACTGAGGCATCTGAAGACGCTTTTAACCCCGCAGGTAAGTCCAGCTCGGTCCAAGATGCTAATTGCTAATGCTAGCGGATGCTGTAGCGCAGCATCATTTTGTTGACAATCTTTAACATGACGAGTCGAGAGAAACACAACAACATCCCCTCTGTGATAAGGCTTCTACATGATTTACATACTCTTAGTTATATTAATATTAAGAGCATCCTTTGTTTGAGTGCTGTAAGCATGGACAGGTTACTGATGAGAAAAGTAAAGAAAAAACTCAAAACTTGAGCAAATATTTTTCTCTTTTCTAGTAAAAAACATCGATTCACTTTTATTAAACAATGTTTATCCAACAAGTCTAAACAAACATCTTACTTTAACATATTAAAAGCTTAACAAAAGGCCTTAAATGATTGTAAAAAGCTAAATCTGCCAATGTAACATTGTACCTGTTGAGTGTCTGAAAGCTGTCTAAATGATCAAGTTCATCTTATTTCAAGACATTTAACAAGTAAAAATGTTCTTGCTCTTTTTATTTAGTTTGTTTTTGTGTCTATTCTGCTTATACACTATATAATACATGCATTTTAGGCTTTATTTTTGCGTGTTATATCTTGAAATCAGATGTTTGTTTGGACTTATCGGATATATTTGGCGTATAATAAGTGTGTTATGTATTTTTATAACTAGAAATTAGACAAATACACTTTCTAAGATTCAAGTTTTTACAGTATGTCCTAATTTAGATGATGCGTCATCATAGTTCAGTATTAATTGATGTGTTTTCCTGTTGTATGCTTTAACATTAACTCTTAACTGAGTTTGGTACCGGCTCCTTTCGTTACACAACATATTAAAATTTGTCATGTTATGGGTAGTTAAAAGTAGCCTAATTGGTGCTTTTGTCATCGATCTTTCCCCACTGTTTGTTTTCTCTGCCTTCACAGGAGACTGCTGCCAAAGTGACATGTCTGGCCTGGGCCCCCAACAACACCAAGTTCGCCGTGTGCACCGTTGACCGAGTGGTGCTTCTGTACGATGAACAGGGAGAGAAGAAAGACAAGTTCTCCACCAAACCTCTAGACTCCAAGGTAAGACAAGTGGGTCAGATATCTGCGTTCACAGGTGTAAATATCAGTATTGAGCTCTCTTTTAAAGACAGACATTCAAGAGAGGAAAACAGATAACCAGACAATTCAAGACACAGCACAAAACACGATAATGAGAAAAAGATGAGAAGAACATTTTCTAGTAAAAAAAGAAGGAATGTTTGGAAGCTTAGGACGGACTCAAGCAATCTTTAGGATAAGAGTGTGTGGTAGCTCTTCTGATAACTGTTTTTTTCTCATTTTAATTACACTACAAAGACAAAGACCAAATACAAGCTCAGCACAAACACAGTGCAGTACACAAGACATTTTGCCAGATATAGATGACAGATTAGGTCACAAAAATATAATCGACTGCACAGGAAATCACTGCTCTTTACGAGGTTTTCTGCCTTCTACTTACGAGGTTTAAACACTTGGTCATTTCATATTTCAGCTAACCTCAATCATATTCTTTGATGAGTCTCCATGGTCCATCGTCGTCATTAGGGATGTAACGATTCACTCAACTCACGATATGATTCATGATACTGGGTTCACGATACGATTCTCTCGCAATTTATTTTTCAAAATGAGACAAATGATGAGTGAAATAGATTCCTTTAGGGGCTGCTAACCCGCTTGTCAGTGTGTCTTTTAATGTTTTTTTTCTCTCAACAAGGGGAAGTGATTGGAGCTTCTCGTTGTGGTGTCGATTAAATGCTGCATCATGTTGGTTGTTCTATTTGTGTAGTTCTCTGTCTTCTTGCACACAGTTTTTGTCTCGTCTGTTGTCTTCTCACCTCTTTCATTTTCTGTCTTGGGGAAGCCAAAATGCTTCCACACCTCCGATTTAAAAGACGGTGATTGAAATTACTTTTTAATCGAATAATCAGTTTGTGTGTTGATAATTATCTCAATGTATTTTCTTTGTCAGTATGGAAAACACAGCTATACAGTCAATGACATGGTGTTCTCACCGGACTCCACAAAGATCGCCATCGCCCAGTCTGACAACATCATCTTTGTCTACAAGATCGGAGAGGACTGGTAACGGATTTGTTTTTTGGAGTTGATTTTGTTTTCAGTGTGAATGCATCGAGAATTTTTACATGAATGTTTTCTTCTCTCCTAGGGGGGACAAGAAAACTATTTGCCACAAGTTTGTTCAAACGGTAAGTAAGCAATGTTGACACTTTGTTTACAGAACAGGCTGTTTCTGTGTCTGTACCTTTAAATATGTAAATGAGCTGTGTCTGACCACGCCCCCCTCTCTGGAAGGACTTGGGTGTACTCTGTCTTTCTCGCTCCATGTCCTATTGTTTACGGTGAGAAGGCAGACTCAGAGGGCAGAACAAACACCTAGCTGTGGGAGTGTCACCCACCTGGGGGAGGGGCTACTGCCCTTTGTGATGTCATGAAGGGAAAATCTCCAAACGGCCTGTTTGAGCACACATTTTCTGAAGTAGACTTCACAAGTAGAGCAGGGGAAAGACAGAGAGGATGGACTTTTCTCATCATTGGGGGGTTTGAAGACAGACTAGAGACACATATTAGAGTTAAAGAAACATGGTGAAGAGGATTTTGCCTATGTGACCTTTAACGGTTCTTCTATGTCAGGAAAGCTAACGATTGGTTTGAAAGGTTTCATGATTGTGATGCAAAATGTTATCCACATTTTTCGCAGAGTGCTGTGACCTGCGTGCTTTGGCCTGCAGAACATGCGATTGTTTATGGATTAGTGGAAGGCAAGGTAAGTGTGCAGCACGTGTGTCACTTCTCAGTACCAGGAGCTTTTTTTTAAGCTTAAAAACTTCTTTAATATTGCTTGACAGAGAAAATAATTTAATTTTGGCTCTGTGGAAGAACGTTGACATTTGTAATCAGTTATTTTTATCAGAAGATTAATTACATTTAGTTTGTTCAATTGTATATATTTCTCGACTTCCTGTGTTTTTCGAAGGTTCGGCTTGCCAACACTCAGACCAACAAGTCCTCAACCCAGTACAGCACCGAGTCCTGTGTTGTCTCACTGGTTTCAAAGTAAATGCAAACCACACAATCACACAATTTTGATTTTTTTTTTACTACAAAACCTTTCTGAATAAAAGAAGAAAGGTTGAGTGTCCATGCTTTATCATTTAGCACATGATCGACTTGTTATTTTTCACTGTGCACTCACTGTGTGTTCTTTGTGCGTTCTGTGTGTAAGTGTTTCTGGTAAAGGCATCCTGTCTGGCCACGCTGATGGGACAGTCGTGCGCTACTTCTTTGATGATGAAGGCTCGGGGGAGTCTCAGGTAACCACAGCGACACTGATCATTCGTTAGGGTCCTGTGTCCACCTGGCAGGTTTTTTTTTTTTTAGGCAGAATAGTGCTGGCTGTGCCATCGGGAGAGTTTTGAGAATTAAAGCGCCTAACGTAAGTTGTCTCTATGACAAAAGTCTCTTGACAACAGCTGCTGTATGACAGGCACTGCTCTGTTTCTGATTGGCTGCTTGAAAAGAGCGTTGGTGATGTCAACAGCTTCTGAAAAACGGCGGGGAAAAAAAATAGGCGCTTGGAGCTCTGCAAGAAAAGGCACTGCATCCTAACTCCCAGCCGCCGCCTGCTGCTACAAACACTCTCTCCTCATTGGCCCTGATCCTTATTTATTCTGAAATGTACATCGTTTTACATTTTGATTTTTATCACCAAATAAATGTTCTCGTTGCTGCAACCTTTGTTTTGAATGTGTCTCCATGACGACACACTCCCTTTCACACTGATGTAGGGTAAGCTGCTGCTGCACCCATGCCCCCCTACGCCCTGGCCTGGGGTACAAACAGCATCATGGTGGGCGGCTGTGACAAGAAGGTGGTGGCTTACAGCCGAGAGGGTCACGTCCTGCAGACCTTCGACTACAGCCGAGACCGGACGGAACGAGAGTTCACTGTAGCCGCCACCAGCCCGAGCGGGCAGTCCGTCGTGTTCGGCAGCTATGACCGGTAAGTATTTTATCTTTTATGTACAGACGATGAATGATGCTCTCTTAATGTAACTCAGGTTCAGTAAGTTGTTTCTCCTGCTCTATCCCCCCGTAGGCTGCGGGTGTTTAGCTGGACTCCCAGAAAAGGAGTGTGGGATGAAGCGAAGCCCAAAGAGATCCAAAACCTCTACACGATCACCGCGCTGGCCTGGAAGAAAGACGGATCACGCCTCTGTGCGGTAAATACTTTATCCAGGATCTTATTTTAACGCAGAATTTTACTTAAACTCATACAGCTCAAATCCTTCAAATCCGAGCCTTCCCCAGTCACTACAGTTGTGCCCCAGGGCTCTGTCCTGGGGCCCCTTCTTTTCATCACCTACCTCCTCCCCCTTGCCAATATTTTCCATAAATTCAATATACTTTTCCACTGCTTCGCGGGTGACACCCAGCTCTACCTCTCCAGTAAACCAAACTCCACACTTCCACCCTCCTCCTTCACTTCTTGTTTATCTGAAATAAAATCCTGGTTCACCTCAAACTTCTTTAAATTAAACAGTGATAAAACCGAGATCCTTCTCGTCGGTACTAAATCCATATTATCCAAAGTTGGCAGTTTCTCCCTCAGACCAGTCTGTTAACCTGCATGCAAACAGACTTCTGTTTAAGAGAAAATGGCAAATAAACGTACATCTTTGAAAAAGCGATTTGAGTATATTCATAGTATATGCAAAGTATATATCAATATAAATACATATACATATACATATACATATACATATATATATATATATATATATATATATATATATATATATATATATTTATGTGTATACAATGGGTGAAACTTAGGACAAATGAGTGTAATATGAAAAGAAGTTAATTGGCCATAGAAGAAGAAGTCGACAGCAGGATGATGTTGACAAAGGGAGGAAAAGAGGTTAAAGAATAAAGTTAAATAGGAGATGAAACAGACACCAAATAACAGTGAATAAAAACATGAATCTGCACTCACATTCTTTTTACATTCTTCAGTGAATCAAATATCATTATGTCTAGTTACTGTATATGATTGTATTGCCTTAATCAGTCATTGCAGAATCACGGTAGCATGACATTATCATGACGGTTGACGACACATCGCTTATGCTATCATCTCATATCCTTCGTATTGTGAGATTCCCACACTTAGTAATCAGTATTAAAGAATTAAATGATGTTTTACACGTGTATGTGTTTGTGTGTTTTTAACAGGGAACACTGTGTGGAGGAGTGGAGCTGTTTGATTGCTGCTTGCGGAGAAGCATCTATAAAAACAAGTTTGAGATGACCTACGTCGGCCTGAGCCAGGTACAGACATCAAGGATGTAAAAAAACCCATTTCATTCTCAAAGTCTGCATGGATTAAAAAAAAAGTACACGTTCCTCCTTCTCTCACAGGTGATGGTGAGGAACCTCAGCACAGGAACCCGTATCGTCCTGAAGTCTTATTACGGTTATGAGATCGAAGAGGTGAAGATCATGGGCAAAGATCGCTACCTGGTGGCTCACACATCTGAAACTCTACTGCTGGGAGACCTGCTGACCAACAACCTGAGCGAGGTGGGCCTTTAAAATAAACACACTCTGTCATGCATCAGGGATATTTGATATCTGTGAGTATGTTTAAGTTAGTCAACCTTCAGATGGATGCAATGTGCACTCAAAGACAGCGGGATATTTCACAGACATCTTCAGATTAAATCCATACACTTCCAGTTTTGTGTCCCTACCTGTGTCCCCCTTTTGAATCTACCACACATGTTTCCTGTCCTTTATAGTTAAATGTAGTCTGTTTCAAGCCTTGACTCTGCCTCTCTCCTCTCTCAGGTGCCTTGGCCCGGCTCTGGAGGAAACGAAAAGTTCTTCTTTGAGAATGAAACAGTACGTACACACGTCTTTGAAGAAGAATAAACATGTACATAATGTTTTAATATGTGTGTATTGTTCTGTGTTCTTCTTCTATCTTGTGAAATGTGTGTGTGTGTGCATGACATCATCTGCCCAGGGACTACAGATGGAAATTAGCCAGTTAGTTAAATCTGCTAAAAGGTTTTCTCTTCTGAGACTCATGTTTTTTTTTACACACTGGCCCTGATTTAAATAAACTTAAGAACTTGAATTTCCTGACAGTGATTTGAGGGTTGAGGCTTTACAGGTCAGGTAATAATGTGTCATAATAATGTGTTTAACGTCATGTTTCAGGTCCTGTCACGTCCTTTAACTCTACCTCTGCTGTATTACCTGCTTCTTTACTTTTAAGTCTGTTGTTGTGTCTGCTCCCTCAGGTGTGCATGATCTTTAACGCCGGGGAGCTGAGCCTGGTGGAGTACAGCAACAATGAGATCCTGGGTTCGGTCAGGACGGAGTTTATGAACCCTCATCTGATCAGGTGGGTTCAAACACACCCGACAATTAGTTAACGCTCAGCGTCAAACTCAAACAGGTTTGTCTGGTTCCAAAGAACAGACATGCAACACTCAGATTTTAGGTTGTGAAATTTAAAAACACAGATTTAAAGGCACAACACAAAAAGATCATTTTCACCTTAACTTACAGATTTTGTTTGCTGAATAAAATGTGATGAAGCGAGACTTTGGTTTGTCTTACTGACGTTTCAGAACAGATTAAATACACCATGGCAACTTGATCCTAAAGATGACATCTGTCAACTCTTTAGGCTTTAGAACATGTCCGACCACATTTCAGGCTCATTGAACTAATTAAGTGACCCCCTTGTTTCCTCTTTTAGTCGCATTTCTTTCCTCATCGAATCATCATTTCCTTTAGTCAACTTCATGTGTGTTTCCAGCTCTGTCCACTAGGGAGCAGTATTGAGCTGTGTAGAAATCCCTGTTATTACTTCAGCAAGGTTTCAGGAAAATCAGTGACACTCAGCCTGCTAGTCACTGCACATCCATGTTAAAGAACTCAGCCCTGTCATTCAGTCAAGTCATGAGTGACAGTCGGCAGGTGACCGACTAATGGGAGGACTTTTTTTTGCTCTGACTGCTCCTCGCCTCTGGCCTGACACTGTTGCATGACAACATCATGATGAGGGGTTTCCTGCAGGGAATTCAACTGTGGTGACCTGCAGCCGAAGGAAATTACTGTCAGCTGAAGCTGGATGAAATATTTCTATGTTGAATTAGCGGGAATGTACCGTTTTTTTTGTTACTGGCCAGTGTTGTTTACCGTGTGTGTGTGTGTGTGTGTGTGTGTGTGTGTGTGTGTGTGTGTGTGTGTGTGTGTGTGTGTGTGTGTGTGTGTGTGTGTGTGTGTGTGTGTGTGTGTGTGTGTGTGTGTGTGTGTGTGTGTGTGTGTGTGTGTGTGTGTGTGTTGCAGTGTCCGGATAAATGAGAGGAAGCAGAGAGGAGTTGAAGACAACAAGAAGCTGTCATATCTGATCGACATAAAGACGATCGCTATCGGTAAGAACGAATGACGGCAAGTGACCAAACCAGATTATTTTACCCTGGATATGATTCTACTGAAAATCAAATGATATTATTGACATACAAAGGCAACAAAAATAGAAGTCCTAGACTCCCAATCCAGGGTCATTTATTGTTTTTATCTACAGTAAAAAAGCAGGCTAACTCACACTGCACGCCGTCGAAATGTTGTCAGCCTATTTGAGCAATCAACACAGAGCTCTCTCAGCAGCTTTTTATTTGAAAATACGTTTTTATTAGATTCTGTTCTTCTTGTTGCAATTGATAATTAAAATAACAAATAATATATCATTTAAAAAACAAGTGGTTTCTTGGCCTAGTGGTTAGTGTGCACGCCCTAATGTACAGAGGCTTTAGACCTCCAGGCGGGTGGCCCGGGTTCGAGTCCGACTTGTGGCTATTTTCCTGCATATTCTACCCCTACTCTCTCGGATTTCTGACTCTTTCCACTGTCCTATCTCTAAAAGAAAGTCACTAACCCCCCCCCCAAAAAAAACAAAAAGAAAACAGGTTGTACAAAAGTATTGACAAATTAGACGACATAATGCTGCACACTTTCATAAAGTTTCACTTAACTCCGCTACGTAGTGTTTCCATATCTCATATGACAACGAGAGAGATAAATGAGATGGACAACAGAACCTTCTAGGCAGGTAAAGATTGCAGAATATAATCATAAACTTAATATAAAATCAACCAAATCAATATAATCTATTGAATTTGTAGGCCCCATTAAATGGAGCACAATGACCAGGCTTTGTTCAGTTGGATGTAGTCCTGATCTATCAGCAGACAAGTAGCTTAGTCCCAGTGAAGCTCAGTGTTTAAAGTTTAAACAACGTGAATGAATCTTTTTAAATAATGAGATGATCGACTCCAGTCTTGAATTAATAACCTGTTTTGAGATACGATGTCACACTCCCCGACTCACCGCTGCTCAGTTAAGTTCTTCTCTCTACTCTCCCCTCAGTGGACTTGGCCGGGGCTACAATCTGGCAACCATCAGCCACGACTCCAAGATCGACTGGCTGGAGCTCAATGAAACCGGACGCAAACTGCTGTTCAGGGACAAGAAGCTGCGGGTGAGAGTGAAACCTCAGCACCCTGAGGGAACATCGGAGAGGAAACAGTGGGAGAGAGAGAAGCCAGATATGAAATAGTAAAGTTAGTAAACTTTAGAGTCTGAAGGCCTTAAGTTAGACATTTCCGTAGGATCACTGACGCTACATTTACCTTTTAAAGGAGTGCAAGAGGACACTACAATGGCAGAATGATGAGGGGGCAAAACAGTGAGAAGAGAAAACTGAAAACAGGGCATGATATAGAAATAGAAACC